GTTCGATGCGCCTCAAAAAGCTCTACAACATGGTATACCAGATTGAGGAAAAAGTTTGTGCACCGCGTTACTATTATTAATATTATAACACGGCGCACGAACTTTTTCCACAACCTAGTATAATCTATAGGCTGACGTGTGAAGATGGGAATGAAGTCTATAAATGAACGACTGGAATGGAGAATAAATATCAGAGTAACAGAAAATTAATCAAACTCCTATTGCAGAAATCAGATTCAGTAACGTCTTTGCGTACAAAACTGCAATCGAAGCTACCGTGTTGTACAATGGAAAACCGGAGAGATAAGAAGCGCAAGTGTAGAAATTTTGAGCATTTTGCTTTTCCTATCCAGTACAAATTCTCCGCATGCCATACGTTCGCCATAGATATTTCGTATTTGTCATCGGATACCCATGCTAATGGCATATAATGAAAACGCCTATATACCTGCACCAGAACTGCTGCTCCAAACAAAATCTCAACTATCGCTTAGAGCGCTCTTTAAGGCCATTGCGTATCACACCCACAGGTCTCCACAGTTTCAATCGCTCAACAGTCAAAACGAGTAATATCTGTATATTCAAGCAAACCCCTTTCCTATATAACCACTGCCCACTACGCAGACCGTCATCTGACACAAATGCATGGAAAATAGCACAGGTCTTGAATCGCATGGAACCAAACGGTCACTCATCGCTTCTACCACACCACCATAGACAAAGACTACTGCATCCAAAAATACCCTCAACATAATTGGGAAAAACCAAAAGCTTTTCGAGTCTCAAAGTGAATGCAATTCGACAATACACAAGCAGATTCCTACATATACACCATCAAATCTAAATCTTCATTCCTACACGCAGTAAAAACGCGAATCCTCCCAGTTCATCGCTACCTGATTCCATCAGCACAGCAAATTCTTATTCAACGTTGAAATGAAGCTTCTTTCACTTCACAAACCATGTAATAGCCAAAATCATGAGGCTCGATATCCGCAGTACATTCCCCTGCACTTGCACCGATGTCGACCACCTCTAGCAACATAGAAGTGAGCCTTTCTCCCTCTTACAACATAATTTCCGACCATCATAATCTCTATTTCAAAGAAAAATTGCGAAACGATATCTGCAGTCGATCGTAAAATCAACTTCCCAGTTAGGATTCTCACCAACAATCCATACATATCCAACCGGGCGTATCTGCGAACATGAAGGAGAGCATTTCTCCCTGTCGCAATATGAATTGCAACGATCGAAATACTGATTCTGACTCGGAAAGAGAAGCTCTATTTCACGTAGAATCAACAGAATCAATATCTCCGATGGTCACGAACTTCGGACCCGAAATCGAAACTTTCATTTCCTCTGCAGCCGTGCACATTTGCATTGTATGTGCGAACATGGAGAAGAACATTTCGTGTGAGAATATTTGTGTATAGTAGAGATCATCGGGACCAAGTGCCTCGAGACCGGAATGTACGGAATCGGGACTAAAAAAATGTGGTCCCGATGATCCCTAGTGTATAGGTGAAAATGTTGAATGCGATTCAGAATTATTTGCTCTGTGTCATGGAATAATATAGATTGGAAGATTTTAAGCTACACTGATAAAAATTTTCGTAGACTGATAAACCCTTTTCCCGTTGATCAACTGGATCAATTCTAATCGAAAGGTTTCTTGGAAATGATGATAAACTCTGAGTCTAAGGGTTGATCAATGGGTAGATTACGTTGATAAACGAATTTTTGAGTTATAAACCCTTTTTTGAGGGTATATCATTCTACGAAAATTTTTATCAGTGTACTCCTTACCATCCACAGTCGAATGGTATTGTCGAACGTTTCAATGATTCTATAATTATTCAAATTTCCAAGCTCCATCAACAATATCACAATAATTGGGATGCTTACTTGGATGCTGTCGTCTTTGCTTACAATACTTCTCAACATAAAACTACGAAACTTGATCCGCGTTACTCGGCTGATCCTCAAATCATCGTTGATCTTTATCATCCCACCTACACTGTTCGTAATTTAACTACTGGTACTGAACGTTCTTATCATGTGTCTGATTTATGTCCGATACTTGTGGATGTTGGTGAGAACTTGATTTAATTTACTTTTCGTTCACATCCTCTCCTTTCTTTCTTACATTCTCTACGATTTTTTGTTTTCATCTTTATTCGTTTTCCTTTAGATTTTCTCCACATCATGGCAGGCTGGTGCTGTTGGTATTCGTCGTGTCTGGTTTGTCTTTCGTATCATTCCAACAAATTTTGCTTCATGGATGTCGGTGCTACTTCACTTATTTTCTTTTTATTGCTCACTGGTCTTCGTTCTTGGTTTTGTGGTACCTGCAACGTTTGTCAAGTCTGTCCTCATTGTGAATGTCATGAGAATTTGAACAATTGTAACTGTCAGTGTCTTACTCAACAAAACTTTCATGCTTATTATCTTCAGTGGTATTCTCATCTTGGTACCAGTTACGTCGATAGGCTCGATGGCAATCGGTCTCTCGTACACAACGTCAATCACGTCTTCGTAAGCAATTAACTCGTCTGGAACGGTCGACTACTCCAGTCAACTCCTCGCCCAATAAACAACTTTTTTCTGTCTCTCTCAGCATTTGGATACGAAAACTCAGCTGATGCTTACTCTCACAACCGCTCTACAATCTGCTCCTAAACCACTGACTTCCAGCCAGTCTGGTCTCATCATTCGTTGAATTCTTCAATATTTTTCCTCTCTTGCTTCGTGCTGGCACAGGGGACAATTGCGTTTTCAGGAATCCGATCGGATCCGCCATCGGATTTGTTGACCTGGATGATGAGTCCCTTAAGCAAGGACGAAACGCGTCGTGAGTGCTTGGAACTGTTTATATATTTTTATAAACTCACCCACACACCATCCATTTAGGAAATATCTATAAACGCTTGAAGGTCTATGGTAAGCTTTTAAAAACAGAGAAGGATTTTGTATATTGCTGTTTTCTTTAGAGTGTACATTAGATGTGATTGACATAAATCATATTGGAACATAGAAGAGTAGAAAAAAAATGGTAGTATGATATATGTAGACACAGAAAAAGCCTGGCACAATATGCTATTCTATTTTTTATCATTCTTTGTTTCTCTCAAGATCACCTTCCGCTAGTAACCAGTGAAACTCTTATCAGTTTCATTATTTTCTTTTGAAGGTTTAAAAAATCATTATATTTACTTCAGTTACATTTCTCTCTCTCTCTTTTTCTGCAACATCATAGCGTCTTCTATATATCCATACACTTTCACTATCTCACTTCTTACATTTACAAAATGACGTTAGTAAAGTATTTGATTTCCATATTCATACTACCTGCGATCATCGCATTAGGACGAATCAATCTTTATTTGTCAGACGAAATTCACGGGAATTCTGATGACGTTGTTCAGCAAAATAATTGCCTTTATTTTGATTTAAGTGAAGATGAACGAACTCGTGAAATTATTCCTTATTGTATAAGTGAATCACCATCGATGTGGGCTATTGAGTCAACGAATTTTGGTGGACGATTTACTTATGGCGACCTTAATCGACAAAATGTTACCAGTGAACAATTATATCAATGGTCAACACCGATTGATATTTGTGAACGTTATGAATATTATTTAACTCTGTTTCTATTGGGATATGATACATCAAAAATCGAAGGAGAAATATTTTACAACTGCACATTTCCAATATTCGGTCCACAATGTCAATATCAATTAGATTTCAATGGCTGGAACATGACATTAAATGATATGATCCGTAGTTACTATAGTCAACAACGTTATGGAGAAGAACCATTGACTTGTTATACACACTTGCAATGTAATCGTGGTTCGATCCTTGTTTGTCTTGATTGGACGGAAATATGTGATGAGAAGATCGATTGTATGGATGAAATTGATGAGAAAGATTGTTGGCCACTGATGTATGATCAATGTGATAATGGTCAATGTGTTCCGCATTTCGAAGATCTTGATCGATCTGATGAATTGGGAAATGAATATAATGCACCAACCATATTAAATGAAGATACCGTCTGTTCATGGCGTGAACGTAGTGGAAAGCAATTTCGTTTTCCTCATAAAAGTTCATGTCGAGCTCAACGTCAGAAAACAATCGAACAAGCCATGTTTGCCGACAAATTAGAGTCAAGCCTAGGTGACAAATGCTTTTTGGCATTTCAATGTTATTCAAACATTCCCACCGATAACGATCTACGATGTGCGAATTTTTGTCAAAATGAAACATGTACCAGAATTATTAAGAATATGTGTCCAGCTATCGTGTATTATCCATCGGTTCCGATTGCCTTTGGTCATATTTACTTTGCTTATACCATCGAATATATCATGCATAGGAAAGGTCGAGAACAACTTTTTCCTGAATATATATGCTACAATGACCAGCTTTGTGGCGGATTTTCTTTAAATGCAACGGTAATACGGTTGCGAAATAGTACATGTCGTCATCCGGAAGATTTTCCACTATCGGTTTCCTACAATGGTATGGATTGGCTTTCTACATATATCCAACTAATATGCACACAGCTTGGTCATTGTAGTCAGTCACGAATGCATCATAATTTCATATGTGATAGTTCCAATATGTATCAATGTAAGAACTCTTCGAAATGTATTCCGATTTCATATGTCGGTGATGGTATTCGAGATTGTGATTATTACGATGATGAAGACCAAAGTACGATCGATCAGCAATGTGCGACAGGTCAAACCAAAAGATTCTTCTACTGTCGAACAAACAAGAAATGTATCCACCGAAGTCAAGTGAAAAATGGCATCTGCGATTGTCCAATGGATGAGTATGGCATGTGTGATGATGAAAAACGAGACTTTCATCAGCTTCATCAAGCAATCATTTTTGCAGAGATTTGTGATCGATCTTTTGATCTCCGACCGATGATGATCAATGGACAATCTCATACAGATCAAACCAATTGTGAACATTGGCCATGTAGTAATACTTATACGAGATGCGATGGTTTTTGGACTTGTCCTGATGGAGCAGATGAAGTCGACTGTCATCGAAAACGCACTCGTTATTGTCCACACTATCATCACAGATGTATTTCGGCAAGTACATATCAGTGGATATGTCTGCCTATTGACAAAGCCAATGATGGCCGTATAGATTGCTTAGGCGGTGTCGATTAACCAATGTTATTTCCAGTGAAAAACCGCCAAGAAGAGTCGAAATTCTATTGCAAAAGTGTTAATTCAAGTATATGTCTATCAGCGGGACAAGTATGTGATAAAATAATACACTGTGAAAATGGTGATGACGAACGATTGTGTAATACAACTATGTATAATTCCTTATGGAATAATTTACTAAGTTCAAATGGAAATTTCGACGCATCGATTCTATCGAAATCAGCAAGCGCTCAATTAAGCAAATCGAAAGGTAAGAAAATGACTGCGCAATTTATGTCGATGATCAGCCAGGATAAAAATTATTGTAATCGTGGTTTGCCTTTACGAGTTGTATTAAACAGTCAGACAAATGTAACTCGACAAGCATGTCTTTGTCCGCCGAGTTATTATGGTAATTATTGTCAATATCAAAACCAACGGGTTAGTATTACTATGAAAATCACTGCACCTGCAAGATCTCGACAAACATTGTTTGTTCTGGTCGTTTTATTACTTGACGATACTTCACAACGACTCGCCCATTCATATGAACAACTATCGTATTTACATGTGCGCGATAAAGATGTTCAATTCAATTTCTATTTACTTTATTCAGCTCGACCAAAAGATACAACAAAACAATATTTCATACATATTGACATCTATGAAAAGACTACGTTGCATTACAAAGGAAGCAAATTCATTCGATTACAACGACCATTCTTACCTGTCGAACGTGTTCTTATTCGATTGAATATTCCACATCTACACGATATCATCCAAACATGTTCGAATGAGCAACATGGTCATGGCCGCTGCTTGCGATACTTAGATGATCCAAGCAATACAACGTTTTATCGATGTGATCAAGGTTGGATTGGACGAAATTGCAATATCCGATATAATAGCACTTGTCGGCCTGATTCGTTGTGTGCTGGCGCGACAACCACTTATCGATCAATATGTGTCTGTCCGTCGCACAAATTTGGTTCTCAATGCTTTTTGACGAAAAATTCATGTCAACATAACCCATGTTCGAACAGAAGCGTTTGTATACCATCCGATGAACGCAGTACATCTCAACCATCATATGTATGCATTTGTCCCGAAGGATTTCATGGAGAAAGATGTGAAATACCTGATTACCAAATTATTTTGATTCTTCAAAATAACCTTACTTTTTCTTCGCAACAATTCGTACATTTCTATTTCATATATTTTTTTCCGAATGGGAAATCTTTGTATAGCAAAAAATCGACGAGAATCTGTGTGAATCAAACGTCAGTTATTGGCTATTCATCATATCCATTGCATATAACGCTAGTCGAACTTGCTGCAAATCAGTACTACTTGATTTCGAATAAAAAAGGCGAGTCTCCAGTAGCTCTTGTGTACCAGATTAATCTATCCAATCGCTGTCGATCTATCAGTGAAATATTTTCGGACAACATTACTCGGATGCCTGTTATTCAACGCCTTAAATATTACCATTTGCCATGTCAAAATCGTTCATCGAATTTATCTTGCTTTTACGATGAAGTGCATATGTGCTTGTGTTCGGATTTTGGTGATTCACGTTTAGCGAATTGTCACCAATTCAAGTATTTTCCTTATATCGGAGACTTGGAGTTGCTGTATCATCCATCCGAACGTGTTTGTCCAGAAGATTATTTATCGAATTCATCCTTGATATCGATGGGTAATTGCATGCCGTGCATGTATATTGGTGAACGTTTTCTCGATGTATTCATCTTGCTGTTTTACTTACATATTTTTCATCGTATACAATGAAAATGCATGGCTAAACTAATGCAAACTACTAAGACATTTTTCAATCTTGCTTAATCCTATTTTCGCTTATAAATGATTGGAAAAACAGATTAGTTCATTCTGCTGGATTTCAACTTTTGCTTTTCAGCAATCGACCTTCTGTGCGAAACAATATAAATTTATATAATATCTGCTTAATTCTTTTTCTCGTTGAGAATGAGTTTTGCAAGAATGAATCGTTTGCTTGCTTGATTCACTGCTTGTGTGTCCGCAGCGTCGAAAAAACACTGAACACCAATTCTCAAGTCTGTTATGTGGAAGCCGAACGAGGAAGAGGGTGGGGAGGGGGCTGAAGGAGAGAGGTCAAAACATACTCAAGACAAAATCTCACGAAAAGGCGTTTTTTGAGGTATTCCGAATAGTGGCGTAACCAGAAAAATGTGGGTGCCCGCGCGTCGCCCTGCACTTTTTAGAAACTCCCTGATGTAACAATAATGATATCTTTCATCTCTTTCTGTTCTTTATTCTCTCACCTCTGTATCATACTATCTCCGGGTTATATCTCTCTTTCCTCTTTTCTATATAAGCGCGTGCCTTATTGTGAAAGAGATACATTCTGGTCATGTAGAGTAGTCAATAAACATCGATACCGTGAGAAGCGGTCAGCTACTCAACGAGTTTGTCGTTACACCTGACAATAGTAAAAATATATTCTATGGCTCACTCAAATCTTCGATTCTCTGTTCCCCTACAATTAAGACAGAGTCAAAACAATATATTTTACTATTCTTTTAAATAAGGCCTAGCAAAAACAAGAAAGAGAAAAACTCAACAGTGCCTATTTCTACATTATTCAACTGTTTCTATGCTATATAGAAAAAATATCAATGATCTTTTTCCTAATTGACACAAACATCTTTTTCAGATGCAAATACTGATAAATCAGTAACTTTGAGCCTCCTGTCCCGCATGCTACTATCCAAAACACTTTGGATTACCTTAATTCTCCTGAAACTTCGTTCGGTTGTAGTAGACACTGTTAGAACCGTCATAGCTTTAATAAGAAGTAATATAATAATTAGAAATGCATGTTGTACTAGAGATATTTCACGGTAAAAATTAATCACTTCCGTGAATTTTTGATGGTTACAAGGTTGTCCTCGATTCACTATTTGTGGTTCAGTATTTATAGATAAATTTCACTTTTTAATTTTGTTCATGATGTTTCCATTTCTTATATTCCTAAAAATGTCGAGCTATTAGATGATAATGATGAAATACAATGAAGATTTTCACTATTTCTTTTGCAAAAGCGACTACTCATCGCAAGTAGATAGAATTCAGTCGATTATTAAATAGAAAACTGACAGATTAAATTTATTTCTATTATTAGTTTCTTCGTGTTGCTCGATAAAATATAATCAGACTCTTAATTATCGTAATAGAAGTTTTTCCAGTCTCGCTTTTTTTCAATTCAGTATTTAAATATAAATCAAGTTTATATTTACTAGAGAAATTGATAATGTCATCATGTATCTTAGAAAGTTGCACTTCATGGCTATGCTCATTAGTCTGAGTAATTATAACATTAATCAAAATATGAGAATGTGTCAAAATTGACATATTTAGCTAGATTATACTGTAAATATCATTCATAAACTGTTTTTAAGAATTATTGAACATACGAAAAAGGTCAACGCTTCAATACCAATTATTACTTGATTTTTCTCGGTGCCCCGGCAGTGCCCGGGCTAGCCCGCCCCTGGTTACGCCACTAATTCCGAAGCGAAGAAATAGAATGAGCGTGTTATGATACGAGGTATCATGACATCTATTTTCCCGACTATTTCTTTCTCATTTCTTTTGTTGCCGGTTCTATATATGTTGTGAAATAAATGGAACTAGTCAGTTATGCTTCGATGGTAACATCGAACACACACGCCTCTTTCTTTTCCATCATTGAACATAACAACTTCTATGCAGAATATTTTCCTACCTGATGAAAGACCCTTAGAAAAGGTCGAAATGTAGATCGTAGGATTCTACTATATAATACTCACCCTCAAGATAGAATAATTTGAATTTTGAAACATGTACGAATGAGAAGTCTAAAAATAATACTTCTGTCAATGTTCAAATAATTAAAAGCATTAACAGTTAATAATTGATTAAACATGCATGTCATATTATTTCCTAGATAATCAACGATTTAAAGATAAAGATTTATATTGACTATGTGGATAAAAAATACATTAAGATCTAAAAAGAGACACCAGGCACAGTAATACTATGAGCTAAAAAGATGAAGGTCATCTTATATTGTAAATTAAATATAGTATATCTTTAAAATGATTATGTGAGTGAGTTAAACATACGCAGTTATTTTTTATTTTTTATAATATATATTTCTAAGCTTATACCCATTTGCCTGTATATCCCTGTTACATTCGTAGGTTTTCAAGTCCCACATTACGGATGTACCCATGGATCCTCATCTCCTATATAATGGGGGTACGATTAGCCCATCTAGACGTTTAATATGAAGGTGATCTATGATCTTTGTGTGGTATACAATGATGGTATCCATGGCTTGTTTTATGCCATAACGGGGAGATACTTTAGGTTCTCCAATTTTAAACTATGTTAGCGTTCTTGAATTTGCCATGAAATCTGTCTACCTGTTGTGAAAGTTTCTTGGGAGTAGCGTTATAACAATATCTCGTTTGGGTTCGCAATAGTCGGCTGTCCATACTTGTCGTTTATTGCTTATTGTAAAATCTCGATTTGGTGGTAAGACCGCTCTTTAGGTTAAGTCTCATACATTTTTTAGAGTACATGTAACTTTCGGATAAAATCCGAAGTTTCCGCATTTATTATTTCTGTTTTTTTGACCAATCAATGAAATGCGGACACACAAACAAACAAGAAGAGAATTTATACTTGTAAGAAAATTTCCGAAACAAATAAATTTTGTATAGATTTTCTCATTATTATGACTTTAATAGAACTATCATTTGACTCAAATCTTCGCATTTCTTTTCTTTTTCTATTAAAAAAAGCTTTTATCACCATGTAACTTATTTTACCAGCGCGGTACAAAATCTTTGCAGGACAAATTATAATCTACTGTGTTTATTTTATAAAATGTTATCAAGAAAGAAAGATTGGAAAAAAGCTTTTTTTCATTAAGTAAAAGTTTACTGTTACTTTCAAGGACAAAATACAAAGCGAAGCGAACAACATCCAATGTTTATATAATTAAAAACTAATAATGATTTTTTTATATATTTATAGACCACTTGTGACGATTGGTGGTTGTTTTTGTTGATTAAGACGAATAATATTTACCGTTCTATTTATTGCTCTGGATGCATCCCTGATCCCCAAATTGTTTTCACCTTGTAATCTTTGTTGAACTGTTATTGGTAGATATTGCATTAGATGAGTAATAGTTAGAATAACTTTCAATCCATATTGACTACAAAAAATAAATTCAGCACGAAATTTTGGACTTGTTAAAGTATATAAATGAAAAATCCAACATCAGACGTACTGGTAAAAATGACTCGTAAGATATTATACCAAAATGAATAGAAAGCCTGATCATAAGTCGATCGAGTAAGCCCAAGAATATTTGAATAGATAGTATTATATATATTAATTACAGCAAAAGGCATAGAGATTATAGTACAGACTATTATTTGTAATAGCAACATTCGAAATAATTGACGATCATTTGAACGTAAACGTTGAGTTTGTTCATTGTTTCCTTGTGGAGCAACACGATTACGAACTCGACGAACATTACGAATCATTAAAATACCAAAAAGTGTCATTAATATAATTGGTATAATAACATAAAAAATCACATATTGACAAATAAAAAACACACCGTATTTTCTACCACCATGAGTACAACCAATTTGTGAATCAGCACGAAAGAAAAAGAAAATATGTATATGAGCAAGATATGTTATTAGAATAACAATTAAAGAGATTTTTTGAGCTAATAATAAATTACTCAATTGACGAAATTTGACACTGGAGGAAGTCGATAAAAAACGATCAATACTAGCAAATACAACAAACCATAAAACAAGAGCACTTGTTGGATATAATGAAAAACTACGAAGTTGACACAAAAAACTATTTGTAGCTGATGGATCAATATTCCAACTACTAGCAAGAAAACGTGAAAGAACATTTGTATAAACATTCAAAATATTGAAAATAGAACCAATCAAAAAATAAAATGCGCATGGATTATTACGTAAAGTAGGACGAGTAAATATTATTATATTAAAAATGTTACCTAATGTTCCTAATATCATATGAACAAAACCACCAGTTAGATTGATTGGAACTGCAGCTCCATTTAAATATGAAATAATATTGCTATTAGAATTTGACATAAGAAAAAAAAATGAAATAAACAAAAATGAATATGTATTATGTATTCTCAGATTTTAGATATGAAAAATGTTGATCTGCGTTTTTTTAATAAAAGTAATAATCTTAATAACGTATTCTAAATTAGTAAAATAAAATATCATTCAATACTTTACAAAGATTTTTTTCCACTTATTTATACTCAAACTAAGATTATATAAAATGAGTGACATTCACTTACAAAGTTTTTAATTATCTCAAAATGATAATAAGTTTGTGTATGACGTCAACAGTAATTTGACATATAATCTGATTAGAATTTGCTATGAAATCTGGCAGAAGAACTTCACTATGAAAATTATTAATAAATCTCATTTTTAATAAATTTTCGTTTATTATAAAATTCATGATATATTTCTTATTAAAATAATATCATTTCTCAATTCGTATCTTGGGGTATCAATCAATCTGCTCTCCTCCCTCCATATATAGAGGATACAATTTAATTAAATCTTGGTTGACCGACGAAAGCGATCTGTTTCGTGATTGATAAAAAATAACTGCTTGAAAAGTTTAGAATGAAAAATAATGTAGTCTATTTATGGAAACGAGCATCATTTTATACGATGCAATTGAGTTAATCTATCTTTCATTTAAACTATAATTAAACACTCAGAAAAAGAAAATATCTGCTTAATCTGTGAAAACTGACATAAATCTCAGTTGCAGCAGGTCGAGAAGTGGTTTCAGCTTGAACAATCTGTCGTCACCTTCATGTTGCTCCTCATTGTTCGAAAAATGATAAAAATTCGAGAATTAATTCAAATTTGTCTCTTGACATGGTATTTTGAATAACTTCGGACCCATATAACTTACTTTTGCTCCAGTAATAGTCCACTTTTGGGATTTGAAACAAAGCCATTTCGATGATAATTCCCACGAATTTTAACATTTCTTCATGAGTAATGAAATGGCGATAACAATCAATCGGATAGATTGTATTATCTTGCGAAGTTGGATTTACTTCGTCGACGATCCCATAGTCTTCTTGAAATTCACCATCGGATTCTGAATCTATTTCATTCCATACTTGTGAATCTAATTCATTATCGGAAAATTCTTCTTCGGAGTTTGACAATTCGACTTGGGTTTTCATAAAACCAGCGTCTAATGAACTTACATCACTGCGTGAATTTTCGCTGTTGTCCGTGTCGATTTCTTCAGATGACATTTGTTAAGTCAATGTATTGTGCGTTTGATAGTTTTCAAAAGTAAAATAGGAGAACACAATGTGTTTACATACTGAGAAATGCGAACTATATATAGGTAGAATAGTTATCCAGGTACAGAGAGACGAGTGGTATATGAAGTAAACTGTATTTGTTAGAAAAAGACGTCTCACCATAAAACATCTAAGTGAACTCAAAAAATGAATTTATCTAATACACATAAGAGAAAAGAATATAAAGCGAAAAAAAATGAAATTTCATTTTTTTTGTCACACTTCTATCGCATAAAATACGCATGAAGAATAGTAAACTTCAATAATTATCCAATAAAATGAAAACGCGAGTTCTTCATATATTCATGACAACAAGACAGAGAGAAACAGACGGTTATATACCTTCAAAAAAGCTAACAGGTGTATTTATAGGACATAAATATACGTAAAAATCATTAAATTTACGCTATTTTCTGAAAAAAACTCAATCGCCTCGAAAGGGTTAAATAAATCATTTTTTATCTATGTAAACTCTGTACATCGAGCATAATATAGTGTACATACATCATTACAACATAAATAGTCGTCTAATGAAGTCTTTCATCGTATTATTACTTCTCTCTATCGATGTTTTATTGGCTCAGAATAAAGCTAATTCAACTGTTCGTATTAGTAATAGAGCGGTAGCACGTCCACGATCAATGTCTGGCGATTTTTGGACACCGGAGAGACTGAAAGCAGCCAAAAACCTATTGTTGTCCCACCCAATAATCGCTCCGGCACAAGTCGTTCTAAAGTGATATAAATTGATCCACAATTCACAATTCCAGATCTTCCTTCTAGTGTTACCAGTCCATTAGCAAGAGCCCTGAACAGTCGTGGACGTCATGTAGCTACCACTGGACGAGCGTTTTTGGTCCTGTGGTATCAATTCACCCTGCTCTTGTTCTGCAAGTGTCATACCATCTACTAGTGGTGATTTAATTGTAACAACAGGTCATTGTTTGTACGAGACTAGTACATCACGATCGTTCACTGATTGCAATTGGATATTTGTACCAGGTTATGAAAATGGTACTGCTCCTTATAGCCGATGGCCTGCTCGACTAGCAGGTACTTTAAGTTTTTGGACTCAATCAAATCCCGATTTTAATTATGTCGTCGCATTTGTTGCTCTATCATAAGTAGACGGAAAACACATAACACAAGTGACGGGAAGTCAATCAATGTTTCAATTGCCCTCGAAATCAACCAGCATATGCTTTTGGAAATCCAGTTAATCTTGATAATGGAAAGGTTCTTCAATCATGTTCAGGAACACCAGGTGCTTCGAAATATACAGGCAATAATTATGTTGGACAAGGATTATCTAATTGTTACATGACAGGTGGTTGTTCAGGTGGCCCTTGGTTACAACAATTTGATGAATCGACTGGAGTTGGAGTGACTTATTCAGTGAATAGCTTTACTTATTCATCAGTATCGAACACAATAAATGGACCTGTCTTTGACACAAATGTTTATAACCTTTGGAACTACACAACTGCTCCTTAAAAATTAAACCAATCATTTCAGAAATAATCCCGAATAACATTTATTCTTATATCGATCTCTTCCTAAAAATATTTTAATCAAAAATCTTACATTTTCATCTTTGATCTATAATAAGCACTTTGAAATAAACCATATCTCATATCCTCCAAAACTTCATTTTAATAAAAACAAAATCAGAAAAGTTAAAGAAATAACCTCGTTTATATTTGTATCGTCAGTAAAAGATAGTTGATAACGACTAAAAGAAATATATGAAAACAATATAAAACAAAAAAGAGTGAAGTTGAACTGTCCATGAATAGTATTTTTGTAATTAATTCAAACGTTATCAAGATGTAAGTACTAATTTAATTTGTACATCTTTATTTGTTTTAATGATTAGTCTTTCATTGTACATTTCCATTTTTTTAATATTTCGCAAGATATTAATAATGTCATCTTCTTTCTGCATTAATTGCTTATGCGAAATGTGTGCTAGTGTTCTATAGCAATCCGAGTTTGCCAATTCATGACCAAAAAAATTAAATTGTGCATCACACCAAATACTGCTATATATTTTTGTTCTGAGACGAAGATCATTGAATATCTTTATATAAAGAATGCCAATGATGGTACCATTAAGTGCAGGATATTGTGGAGAGTCAATAATCGTCCAATTTCCAAAAGAAGGCATTGATAGTATTAATGAAATATTACTGATTTGAAGAAACCATAGTAATAATAAAAATGGAACGAAACAGAAGATCCCAATTTTCGTTTTTTTCCCCGTCATGTAATTTCTATGACGATATGTACGAAAGGGAAGTAAAATGACACAGAATGTTGTTTACTCAATAATGAACGAATAGTATATTATGAGACGAAAAAAAGATTAGAAATACCAATTATTGACAACTGAAAATTTGCAGCGGCATCTAAAATTTACTACAAAAGCTTGCGAAAAAAATAGTACAGAAATATCATTAAAAAATTCTGTATTAGAACTGTATATTTTGCTTTTGATTAAAACTACAGTTGTACTATAGCGATATCGTTACAATCAATGTCTTTTTTGATAACATGATATTTCATAGAAAAAAATACGACTCGTCTCAGAAAGCATGAAAACAATTGTGTTAAATCCGTGGTGTTACTCATGTTATACATGCTTAAACACGATATCGTGTTTAAGATATTAAAAGAGATGTAAAACATATATTGGTTTATCATTTAATTTGAATTTCATTTATGATAAATCAATTGTTGTTTAGATTTAACAATTCTTTGAATGAAATCTCATTTTTGCTTATTGTCGACAAAACCATCAACAAATAATTTTTCACGTAAGATATTTTAGTTGACTTTAACAAAGTATTATTATAGATCGTTCAAATGATATTGTGACTTCGATAATAGGATGAACATGTGAGGAGGTGAAGAATCTCAAATTATTACCAGTTTTCACCAAGAACCTCTTGTGAAAATTTTGCACTACGCTAGAAATAAACGACTAAGATCCTGTTCAAATCAAAGTCATGCTAGTATCTTCTAAGCGCGAGATTCACTTCTCTATATAAATTGCAAATTTCCTTTGTCAAGCGAATAGATGAACGATGCCGATGAATATGTATTATGGAATTTTGCCATAAAATGTGTTCGATTAGCGCAGATTATGTGCAACGGGTGATTAGTTTGATCCACCTGTGTACCTATCAATATGTTATTTGTTGTATGTCTAGAGTAGTATTTTTGTCGAAATAATTGAACATAAATATCTGAACCGATTTGAATCAGAATGTTAATTGAATTAGTTTGAAGGAAATAACGGTAGTTACATAATTAAAATGTGTTGAGATGAGAAAGACTGCAAGTTGATAATTCATGTTGGAACGTAAGATGAAATTGCAAAATGTGTGGCGTGTGCGAGTTTGTTGACGAACAGCAGTCGAATATGTTGAAAAAATTACTTCAAAGGGGCGAAGTCGAAAAAACTCGTGATGCATAGCTGAATTAGTGCCTCTCATTTAAGTTATTTAAGAATGGATACATATGTAATCAGATCGTGTAGAATCTGCATAACTAGACGATCACATGAAGATATAATTATATACCTTCGGCGTAGAGTCACAAGCAATAAATAGAACGACAAAAAGAATTTGAACAATCAAGTTTTTTGTCCAATGTTTTCGATTTACAAAAGTTTAAACTTTTAAAAGTGTTTCGAAGCGTGTTNCTTTGATGAAATTTAGACGAAACTAACAGCGATTTATTTTTCTCGCGTAAGATTCGGCAGAATTCATGACGAACTGTTGCTGGCTTTGTATATTAGTCAGAGGATTGACAAATATACACTAAACTATGACGAGTTCTGTATGCCTCTGATTAGTTCAGTATAACCTTTGGAAAATCATTATCTACTCCGTCGAATGAATGAAGGCTTGGCAGTATTTGTACCAAACTATCCCCACTTGCGTACAGCGGCTCAAGGTTTCCCATAATCTACTCGTATACACAAATATATTTTTGTACTGGTCAGTAGTTACGTATAAGTTCCGCAAAACAATTCATGATCTCATAATTATTGTTCCTGTTCGGCGAATCCTCTACCAAACCATTGATATCTGCCGTGGATTCAGTTAGAAAAAGGAGAAGACTCATTGAAAGACATAGCCCTTTACGCCAGCCGACGTCCAGTTTTCAATAGACCGTCCGGTGAGACCCTATAAATACCCATGCATTTACCATTTTCTATTTATTTCTAGTATTTCTCACTGGTCGTCACTATATCGATGCAAATCTATGGACGGAAAGTTCTCAATAGTCTGGTATTCAACTAGGTAAGTGATAATATATAATAAACCATATTCTGTCGTCTTTCTCGTTTAGAGTCGATCGCAATGGATCTACTGGACTGGCTAGAACCTACTCTCAGGTTCGTGTCACGATGAAAGGGTGGGTGAAGGTGTGTGGACGTTCGAAATGGGTGAACTACGTTTCGTACGACTCATTCCGAACACCCGCACCCTCACACACCCTCACCCTCAAGATTCTGTAGTGACTGAATACGGGGCCTGTAGGAGGATAACTATAAAGCAGTCTGTGACTAACCCAAGAGAACAACTAATGCAACGAAGGTTTCGCAGCTGTGGATTTTTACGAAACGTTTTTTAATATAGTTACAGATGGTTCCGCACGGTACCTATGATACAGAACCTTCTGTCTTTTGAAGAAAAAAAGTTTCGTACTAAACCTTTGCTGCGGAACCTTTGTTCTCAGTTTTTCCTGTAAGGTTCTGTTCGGAACCTTCATTTTACTTAACCAAAAAAGGATCGTCCCGTGTATCGGTGGGAAGATCCTTTTTTGGTTTGGTAAAACTCCTTTTTTTTAAACAGTGTGCGGGTGTGGGTATCAGATGTATCAAAGGCTTATATCTACATCCATCACACATCGTTAGCTACTTTTACTATATTTGAAGAATGTTAGTAGGGTGCGTGAGAAGAGCATTGCTAAAGGTTATAGGGTGAATGATTAACCATATTACATTCTTATATACACTCTAAAAAAAATTGGTGTTTTACTGAACCCGAAAGGTTTTCCATGCGTTTACCAAACGTTTTTAAGTTTGGAAAACTGTGGAAAGTTTTGTGCTCGCTCTACTAAACTATATTAAGTTCAGCTAAATCGAGAAGGTTCCGCAGATAGCACGAAAGCCATCTGAAAGCTTTGTAAACAGAACACGAAACCAGCGATAGTTCTTTGGGACGGTGACGGAACCATCAGCGGTTCTGTAGATTGATTATAAGCTTAGAGTATTTTCTACGAAACTATCCCCAGTTTCGTGGGTCTCCTAATGGCTCAGATTAGTTCTCACGATACCATGGCTGGCTCGGAGGTTCTTAAAAAGTTTAGAAGGCTTTGAACTAAACCACACAGAGTTTCGTAAAAACACTCAAGGTTCAGCGTGGCGTACACAGAACGAATGTCATGTTTTGAAATCCTTGAAAGCTTCGTAAAAAATCACCGAAACTCTTCGAAGTTTCGCATATCCACTAAAAGTTCAGTAGAATCGATGCCGATCAGCTCTGTGTTTGGTAGAACCAACACGAATCTTTGAGAGCATCGAAAACTTCTGAAAAGTTTAGGGGATTTATCACTGAACTAGTTGTGGTTCCGAATCTCCCGTGCTACACCAATGAAAACTTATTTATGTTCCTATTGGTTCCGAAGACTTCTTGCCAAACTTCTTAACATCTCATCACCAATAGAAAGGTTCGGTTTCTCAATACGGAACTAATCATAGCACCGCACAGAATCATAGAAGTATTGTAAAAATTTTACCGAAATGATCATAGCTGTGTTCACAACATAGTTCTCGCTACTAAACTACCGAACGATATAGAATGCTTTTCGTTTCAAAAAAAGTGTTGTATTTGTGACACGAAACCTTTCAGGACTCGATGTCTATCGCAATGGTTTCGTTTTCGTCGTTCAGACCGCTATTTGGTTTCGTACGGTTCTTAATGGTTTGGTATAGCTCTCACGAAACTATTTCTAGTCTCCCACAGTTCCTCAAGGTTTTACAGAATTATTACCAAACTCTGCAAGGTTGTGTGTATCCACTCGACGTTTGGTGGAAACGATGCCAAACTGTCGATGGTTGTGTAGATCCACCCAAGGTTCGATGAAAACAATACCAAACTATCGATGGTTGCGTAGATCCACCCAAGGTTCGATGAAAACAACACCAAACTATCGATGGTTGTGTAGATCCACCCAATGTTCGATGAAAACAATACCAAACTATCGATGGTTACGTAGACATACCTTAGGTTTGGAAGAAAGAATGCCCAACCGTCAGCGGTTATGTACACTCACCCAAAGTTTGGTAACGATATTGCCAAACTATCAATGATTACATGTAGTCGCTCAAGGTTTGGTAAAACTATTGCAAAACTAGGAATAGTTTTCTGTGGTGATTCAAGTATCGATAGAATTTCCTCACGATTATGTATCATGTTGTTCAGTTATAAGCAAGTTTGTGTAAGTGCTATGACACAATGAAGGATTTTGTCGGTGTTGTCAAATTTCACTGTATTTTGTAGCAAGCGATGGTACAATGTAATTGATTGATTCAAAGAATAGAGGGAAGTAAGTATGATTGCAAGCATTTCTACCCTTGGGTTTCGATTTCCGAAATGAAATCGACAAATACTGGGTCAAATGTATGGCATAAATGATTTTCGCTCAAAACTAGAATTCAAGGTTGAAGTTTTGAATCGTCTGTTGACAATAACGGTGTCAGTCTTGTGTTCGTTTATTTTGAAATATCTTATTAGAAGAGTATAAATTAAACATATGAATATTTCTTTTTGTTGTTCGAATATAATCGCTGTGGCATGAGCAGATTAGTTGATGAAAGATGCCTTTTGTACATCACGGTAATGGTTTCTGCTATTTGCAGAAATTTTGAAAGATAAAAAATGAGTTTAATAGTGTATAGAACACGTAGCTATATGTATGAGTTCACTAACAATTGATTTCAGAATTGACCGCTTAGTTATTTTCAAAGTTTCAGGTTATATTGATTTACGAGTAAAAGTAATCAATTCTTATTCTGTAAACTTCTCCTAAAATAGTTTATCGATCCATAAGATGTCGTTAGTGTATTCATCAAAAGTGTCTATTGAATACGTAAGTAATCGAATATTTATAAATCCAATCGAATACGCAATATTAATTCTTTTTCTTTGTTTACACATTACGCTGGATAAAGATTTTATTGTTTACAGAACGGAAACGAACGAGAATGCGTGCAAGAAAGCTAACTAGTTGTTCTATATGATACACAGTATAAGCATCCAAAAAAGATTCATTGCTTATAAACTTAATCAGTCTCGAATACGACATTATGTCTTTGATTGTTTTAGTCAAATTAGACCCAATTATTGATATTTGATCCTCATTCCGTCGATTTACTCGAATTGAAATCCTTTTAATTGAGAAAGAACGGAAATGCCAAGCTTTCAAAAAAAGAGAATGATTTTAACTGTAGATGAAACTGTTTTTTAGATATTCTGTTCAAGTTTACGAAAATCGTCGCCTTCTTGTTCTTTGTGTTGATCAAATCTTGTACGTAAGAATTTGAAGCTTGAAGAAGAAACAAGCTCTCCATGTTTAAGGATATTTCCTTGAATTATAAATTAAACTAACAATCTATTTTTTCTAGGTCGATTTGCTCCATATAACTCACGTTATTTCTATCGATAGATCGTTGGCTGTGCAACTGTTTCTTTATTTTGGTAAGAAATCGTTTCTTTGAGTGAAAGATGAAAGAAATATCATGTTACAATGCGGGATGATGATTTAAATCGAAGATCCAATCATGATATTTTAGACTAGCTGTTTCGGATCAGATCAGACATAAGTTTTACTGATTGCTCATTTTCTTGCTATTTACTACAACTGGTTAGATTTGTTTTGAGAAAAGAATGAAGATGTTTGTTTATTGGGAACAGATAATTATTTGAATTGAAAACTCAACATTCATTTGCTTTAGATCATTATCAAGTTCACATCCGCCGTTGTATTTCATTGGTGGATTCGTATTTGATCATTCGATTGAGATTGTAAGTGGAAATTTTTCATCAAAAAGAAAACTGTGACATACTTATATTAGATCATTTTTGTCTTGGAACTGATCGACGAACATTTTGCTAAATCATTTATACGTGGGTTATTGCTTTTCATAACATTTTTTTGTCATTGGTAAATTCGGTAAGTCGACATTCTTTACAAAAAATTTATTGACTACCTCTTTGAAACCATTACTTCGATTGACATTTACAGGAACTATCTCTCTAAATCGATTCATCTTTTATTGCTGTTTTTGTCAGCTACTCTTATCGCCTTTGATCAATTTGGTAAGTGGAAATGATTTAAATCAATCAGCAAGAGAAAATATTCATTTCTCTTGGGATAATCAATGATTTTAATTGTGAATTTATTATTTATGGTTTTAGGTCAACCTATTCAATACTACGTAGAGCTCTTTTCTCAATAGTTTTTTCTCGCTAATCAAATCCGGTAAGTAAATACTTATTTAATTAGAAAGAAAAAGACGCATTTGATTCACTGAACGAATTTATTTAATTGAAATGCTAAATATTATGAATATTTTAGAAGTGATTCTTTGTAATGGACAATTTCTCAACTGCTCGTGTTATTTCTTGGCTTCGAACATTCACTACCGATCTAACAATTATTAATTATTTTCAAGGTAAAGTGAGCTTGGTTTCATTTGTTAGTTTTGAAGCTAGTGTTGATTGCAACGTGCTTCTCATCAAGTGGTTGAAGGTTTAGTACCAGTAGTGACATAGAACAACTACTACGTGTTTTGCATATAATCAAAATGAAAAAACGACTTTCTTTTTTATTCGAAAAGTAATTTGGCGATAGTCAGATTTGAATAGATCTATTATGAATATAAAAAGAAACTGTTTTAGTCATAGACAACGGTTAAGAAATATTCATATATAAGTGTGAAACGCTACGTTTTTTAGTTATTTGTCAGAAGAGAATGCGACATTCTATCCCAACCTTTTTAGTTAAATAATTTGGTTCGACCAAATTCGTTCACGCCATTACAGTGCTTGAAATTTCTCAATTATCGAAATGTCGCAATTACATCATTATTTTTTCTGTCCATGCTGTACCGTCCCAAACGTTTTTCATCATTATCCCGCATTATTTGCTCATATTCGCGATGAACATCGTGATGAACCATTCTTCAGTATTCGATGCGAGCTGAGTGTATCGTGTGGTTCGCGTTATTCATCTTTTGAGAGCTATCGATGTCATATTTACCGTTCCCATCGCACTCTTATTGAATCTTTTGATAACAGCGAAGTTTTTGGTCATATTGATGACCTTTTTTCTGGTTTGATTTTCAATGATGAACTACAAGGTGCTGATCATCCTGAGTCGTGCATTTATCCAGATGAAGAACCCGATGAAACAGATTGTTTATTTTCTAATTTTGATTTTACTTCCGTTTCATCCAATGATCACGAAAACGATACTGATCAGCTTGTACGATTTTATACTTTTTTTTTACTTCAACTGAGAGAACAGCACCTTCTTCCACAAAAGGTTGTGCAAATCATTTCGTCTAATATTTGCAAATTACTTGATATGATTATAAAAGTCATGAAGGCAAAATCAGCATCATTTACTTCCATTACTGATTGCGAATCTATAGTCGATCATATCACCTCGATGATCAACTCAATCAGTAAAAACGAATATCAATTCGTCAAACAATGCAAAAAATATTTCGACTACCAGGCTCCCACTGAAATTATTTTAGATTCAAATGATAGATTCGCTTATTATGTGCCATTACAGCAGAGTTTCTCTCACACACTTCAAAATGGCCAACTGTTACAGACGATTATTGACAATATTCAATGTTTAGAAAGTCGGGTCGCTCAAGATAAAGATCTACTTCTATCCAATCGACAATCTCATTTTATACGAACAAAACTTCAACGACAGACAAATCCAAACACCTTGTTATTGAAGTTGTATACAGATGGAATCTCTATTACGAATCCAATAGGTCCCAGTAAAGACTGTCATAAATTGACATGTTTTTATTATCTACTGGATGATCTTCCTGAAGTTATTCGATCACAGGTCAATTCCATAGGATTACATTGTATTTGCTATACAAAACATTTGAATACTGATAAAGGTAGAGAAATCTTGATGAATGTTCTTGTCGAAGACCTGAATAGACTTCAAAAGGATGGTGTTACTATTCCTTGTCTCTCAAGTAGAATTTATTTCGCTTTTTCGTTTATTTGTGGGGACAACTTGGCATCAAATGAAATCGGTGGTTTTCAAAAAACTTTCAGTTCAGGAAGTTTTTGCCGGCATTGTTTTATTACCTATGAACAAAAACATATTCCATTAAGTGACATATCTTTTCTACCTCGTACTCCTTCAAGGCATGATATGATTGTTAATCAAGTTGCAATGAATAATGATGATCGAATTATACAAGGAGTAAGAGGGCTCAGTTGGTTTAATGAACTAATTGGCTTTCATGCAACCGAGTCACTGCCACCTGATCTTATGCATGATTTTCAAGAAGGTAGCATTACAGAAATGATAATTTTTCTTCGAGAGAAAGGCAGTTTTTTAAATAAAAGAATATAGATCTTTTGAATGAGTTCTATTCAGTACTCATATGATTGTATCTACCTGAAATATTTTGTTATTTTTCATTATCATATGGGTCAGATAAAATAGTTAAAGCTTGTTTTTTCTATTGAGGCATTTGTCCAATGGTCATAGGTGTTTTACTAAAAGAAATTATTCAGCAACGCCTCTTGACCTATGCGGAAATTGAGGAACGAATATCATCTTTTACTTATGGGTTCTATGATACATCGAATAAACCTCCTTCTGTTAAAAAACAAAACATCAAATATTCGAATATTGCTGGTTCAGCATCGCAAAGGTTATGTTTGTTTCGTCTATTCCCATTAATATTTCATGAATACATAGATGACTTATCTTTATTTCCTGTTTTCACATTGTTACGTGAAATTCTATCTTATGTCTATGCTAATCCTATTAGAAATTCATGGTTACCATATTTGGATGGGCTATGTAAGGAATTTTATTCGTTGATGATCGAACTTCTGCCTGACTACGTAACACCAAAATGTCATTTCATCACGGAATATGCAAGATCTATTGAAAAACACGGACTACCTATACTGAATTCTTGCATTCGTTTCGAATCTAAGCATCAATACTTTAAACAACTTGCTAATCGATCGTTCAACTTTCGAAATCCTTTACTCACTCTGATGAAACGTCCTCAATTTCGTCATTGCATGCTGAATACAGCACAATTGTCTGCTTATTCTTGTTTAACCATGATTCGGTCATCCAAAACAATTGATTTTTCTAAGTTGTCCATTGGTGTGCAACGTTTATTAGCTGATTATACTGAGGAAGTAGATTCAATATGCGAATGTACATCAATCGATTATCATCATGTTAATATAAGACCTAAATCTATCATGATTCATCGTTTAATGCATGTTGAAGAGATTCCTATCTTCTGTCAAGTCCATCATATTTTCAATATTGCAGGAAGATGTTTGTTTATCGGTGAACCATTAGACACAATTTCTTTCAACGAGAAGCTATGGTGTTATGAAGTTGAATATACAAACGAATTGATTGAGGTTGATGTCGAACATTGTTTTCAGATACATCCACACTGTTTAGATATGTATTCTATTGAAGATACAAATTATATCAATTTATTAACTCGTTTAACTAAACATTAGAAAAAGCGTTTTTGCTCTTTGTTTCCACCAAAAAAGAATTGCTCTATTGTATCATCATAAGATGATAATTTCTTCAGCTATTTTGAAACTCTATGTTTGACAATAAACTGAAAAGTTGTTTTTTATTTAGACGAGGATATTGATGGTGCAACACTAGCTTTGTTTGAACAAAATGATATCAATCAAATCTTTCCACGAATAAAAGATCGTGTCAAATTCACACATGAACGTGCCAAACTAATTGCAAGTCTTAATGAACGACAGGAACGTCAAGATGCACTGGTAATTGATACATTCGATTCTGAACCAATACGCCTTCGATCGTATTCTGGATCAGATAACAATGATACGCATAATTCACTGAATGAAAATGAAAATATCACAGATAATAATGACCAATCATCTGTAAACTCAAATTCTTCACCTAATGATCATGAAGATATGAATACTCGTGGTCTACTACCGCATGAATATGAAGGACCAGAATTGACAGATAGAATGAAAGAATATGTTGATCGGAGTGATTTCTCAAAATCCAATCCACATACAAAAATGCGTGGAGACTTGTTAAGTTTGCTTTTTGAAGATGTTACAAAATCTCATCAATTACTGTAAGAAATTTTCAAAAAGGAGGTTTTCAAACTTTGTGCATTTTTTTATTTAGCTATCCTAGTAATGATGAATATCTTACAATGGCAAAATGTTTGGTAAAGAAACTTCGTATTCCTTCAGCTATGCAACGTAGTTCAGTTGTAAGAGAAAAGTAGCTGATAAAAATAATGTAATATTTTCCTTCGTTTCAGAAAGATTGGCACGAGTCAATAAAACAAAAGTTCAAACGTGAACGTAAACCTTTACAAATTAGCAGTGAATTAGTTAAACGAAAGCAACAAATTTATGGCAATGGAAAAACTAACGGGAGACCAAAGAAAAAAAGTGCCATTTCACAAGCTGAACGTCGTACACTCGATATAGTGAGTTTTTATTTAACACTAAATAGTGTGTTATATGACTTTTCGTAGCCACTTATCAATTTAGCTGATCGAGAGAATCAAAACTTGCTGGACATTGTTAATCAGATGAAAATACAATTGCAGCAAGATGATCTCGATGATGATCTGCTTCGTAATCTTTGGAAACAATCATTCAACATACGTCGTCTATGTATACGTGAATTAGCAATAGATGAAATATTAGAACGTTTTCCAGGATATCGTTGCTCAAAGTTGGTAAGCATTATCGATTATACATGAAGGGCTACTGTTTTCCAAAAATGAGAAATACTTTCCAACGAATTATTTCGATGAGTGAGACCTTTTCAATGGATCTATTTGATAGGTTATAATGTGCTTCTTTCATAGCGAGATATTTCAGTCATTGTTTTCTATTCACAATCATTTATGTTCACTGGAAATTTTGAGGTAGTATTCTATATTCAGATCAATTGAGTTGTATTGTCACTGTAATTTAAGCTCAGAAACCTTATCTTTTCAAGTTAAAAGGTCCAGGTTAATATGCGAATATTTTTTTCACACAAAGATAGTCAAGACCATACATCAATAAAAGTTTTATAACATAAGTCGTCCTAGTTTCCATAGATTGCTGTCATCTTAACTTTACTTTTAGATCTTGGCTGAAGTTAAAGACACCAGTGGAGTTGATATCGAAGAGAATGTTAATGTTTTGTTACCAACGCTTTTTGATCATATACCTGATAACGATCATTTTCTATCAGGTATAGTTTTGAAAAACTCTAATAACTCAATTGAGTCGAAATTTATTACGCATTGTGAAGTGATTTCTTACTCTTTCACACTTTGAGATAAAATTTTGTCACGGTAATAATTTTCCAAGCTGAAATATGGGATCACTTTTTCCTTTACTGAACAATTATTAATTGTTTGAGTGAAGATATATCTGCCAGTTGGAAAGAAAGATTCAACTGATCGTCTTTGATACGCTTGATTTTGAGAAAACGAAGTTTATTTTCAATTAATATTAAAATTTGGTTTATTTCCAATTTAGATGCTTTACCTATTCGAACAATTCGTACTCTTTGCAAATTCTTTGGTGATTCACTTGGTAATGTGTTAACACATCAGGTAAACTACCCGTAGAACTTTCAGCTGTCGAAACTATGCATTTGAAAATTCTTTTACAGGAAGTCCTTACACCTTACCCATGCATAAAGGTGCTCGATGATAAATTCGAAATTTATCTCGATTTCTGTCTGGTAACACAAACCAATTCGTGCTCGACAGCTCTGGCGCTTCTAATGTCATTGTATTACGTTTTTGAAGTTCAATTTGGCCATCACAATCGATGTTCTCGTTTACTTTATGGTGTTTTATTCGAAGATTCTCACTATCTTAATAAAGGACTGAAAACTACGATCAACAGTTGGAAATACAAAATTGTTAATCATTCATTTATCAAACGAAAAGCGGTGGTTACAAATCTGGTAGAAAACTTGATTCAACCACCGACTACGATTAAACATGTTTCATCGACAGCTAATGTCCCGAATGAAGTAATTGTTCTAATTCAACTCGATAGAAAAATACGTATAGCTTCTGTGTGTTGAAAACTCAACCATAGTAATCCGTTTCTTGAGTAGACAAAAAAATCAAACTAGACTAGATAATTCACGTTTGACAAAATAATCTCCATCTACAAAATTACAATTCACATATTTTCATTCATTATTTATTAACTATTAGAAAACTGATCGTTATCCTTCATCTTTCGATTACAATTTTTCATATACCTACCGAATCACATCCCTTCGTAATTCAAGAGGTGATATAAGACATCTGAAAAGTACTTCTTTGTATATCTTTCTTCAAATATTATAGACAAGATCGTGTTTCTCATGGAACCTTGATAGTATATTTTCTTACGTTTCATGATTACACAGAAGAGGAATCCAGAATTTCTTCGAGATCATCATCGTTCGAATAAATGATCTAGTTTTCTTCATATTTCCCCATTTGCTAGTTTGTCTATAAAATAACTTCTTTTTCTATTCCTTTAGGCTATCAATGAATCACCTGAACAATTTGATCCCGGACAGTCGAATTCATCTTGTTTCAATGGTAACACATCAACAGATCTTGACAAAGAAAACATAAACGAAGATGAAGCTGAACGTGAATCTGATCAATCATTAGTTATTGATGAAAGTAGTTTTCATCATACTTCACCTATAAATCGTCCCATTCTTGCCTCAAAATCAAATTTATCAATTATTATGGAAACAGCATCCGCAGCACCAATCGATATTGCAGATACTTATTTTAACTCAAATTCCCAAAAGATTCATCAAGTTAATGCATCTCAAATGTCATCATTAGCTCAAGAATCTCAACTCTCAACTGTTTTCGAAGAAAATCAACACAAATCTTCTTCATCTATAACTAGAAAACGTAAAGGAAATCCGGCATCGACTTCATCGATCACCGCAGTAAAATCCTCTGAACGACTTGCAATTAAACGTAGTCGTCGGAACTGATTCTTTCGTGGACTTTCCACTTGCATTTCCTTCTTCTTAATACCTTCATTTATTCTTGTTTTCTTATTTTAATTACTATTTTATTGTCTTTTTACGCGCATTAAGAGAAAGAAGAAGAAATTTTTAGCTATCAGAATGATTTCCATGCTTGTCAGAATCGAATTGTTTCGAACAACCAAATTTGCAACAAATGCATCTCAGTAGGCCAGTAGCATCCTATGTCTTGCATTGATCCAAGTTCGCTTTACCTCATCTCGCCAGCCCCATGACAAAGACGCGAGTTCAACAATCGTAGGCTTCACAACTGGTAACTGACGTATACGCCAAAACCAGTCTTCAATTCACCCCGAAAATCTAAAACATGCATACCACTTTCTCGTTCTCCATCCGAGTTTTCTTGTACCACCTATTCGCCGACTGTATAAAACGATCTCAGTATTTTTTCATCGCCTACTCAGCTACAGCCATTGTCCTTCGTCCGCCGCCTATTCGAATATGTCTGTAGTCAGAATGAGTTGAGATAAGGTCTCATACGCTATTGGACTATACAATAGTCATAGAAG